AATACAACTCCCCAAAGTAGGGTCCTTTTTCAAAGCCTACACTTAGCAGTGTTTTATACAAGAACTGACTCTGAGTTCCAGTTTCATGAAACCAACACACATCTTTTATATATTTTTATTCAGATGAGGCCAATGATAACTAAAGAAATCGTTCACACACTTAAATTAAGGAGAAACTACTGTGTACAAAGAGGTATCATATTACGGACTAGTGATCCGAGAAAAGATCATGCAGCCATCGGCCACTAGGAACTTTGTTTACTTTATTCTCCTGCGACACTATATGCTATTCCCTCTTCCGCTCTACCTTCATCTCTCTCTCTCTCTCTCATATATATCCCTGATATATATCCAGAACAAAAACATGTTCAAGCATTCCCTTTCTGCGTGGTAGTGTTCTGTGGCTAGCAAAAATCATTTCCTCGCTAAGCTCACGATTATGGCAAAATAGTGGCCGGAAACCGCAGACGACACTCGTCGCTAGTTCTGGCAAAACGGCCGATACAATCTTTTTGTCGCATTTCCCCGCTCGCTGTCAAGGACAAGGGGGTTCGCTTCAACCAGCAAAACATGTCCGCCGACGCCTGTTTACTGAGCAGTCATGCCTGTCGCCATCTCACTCGCTGGCGTCACGGGCGATAATATCAGGCACAAAGGGGCACACCAACCGGCAGCATTATCCCCAAATACTCGAGCCTCGCGTAAATACATAGAGTGTAAACGCTGTCGCCATGTTATCGTAGTAAGACCGCCCCCCCCCCCCCCCTCCCCCAACGGGGGACTGCAGTACGCGACGGCGTACTAACACAACGGCGACGATATCGACATCGCGGGCTCCGAATTTTCCCATAGTTCTACTCCACGGGCATTTCTCGAAACGCTTGATATTGTGTACGCCCGCCTGGAAGGATTTCAGGCGCGTAGTTAAGATAAGGCGGTTCTCCGCGGCAAAAGAATGCAATTTCACAAAAGCTTAAAAGCGGCGGCGACGCGTGTGCGGTGAACGCTTGTAGTTTTGGTGTAGACAGGGTGTGTGTGTTCTCGTTGTTGACACCAGCCGGCGATAAGGCACTGCAGGCGGTAGCTCAGTACAGCAAGGGCTAATCCGAGTGACCATCAACGTAACCCCACTGCCAACCCCTCGCGAACCGGTCGCCGACATGGCTCAGGCTGTGTCATGAACCACGTGGTAGAAGCTCGGGTGCTTTCATATCAGCGCGTGGAGGGACGACAGTGCGATTCCGGAAAGTCTTTTTCGAAGGCCGCTGACCACAATTTTTTGTCTGGAGACTTTCCCTCTTTCTTCCTTTGACGTGGATCAAGCTTTGCCGACAGCCTCAGTTGTGACCTCTCTTTTCAAATGTACGTTTGCAGTGAGTGAGCTCCTCAGCCTCGGACTTGTCACTTGTGCACCCAGTAGTTCTTTCACTTGGCAATTATATGCCATCAGTTGGGGTTTAATTTCTATTATTTATGTATACATTATGAAGACGTCCTGGAGCTCCGAACGAGTGTTTTGTGCAGATTACTTTTGCAAACACAAAAAGACTATACCAAAGCAGCGGAATTTTCGAAGTGTTGGCGAGTTGGACATAAACTCGTTGAAGCAAATTCTTCCACCTGACTGTTCCACCAAAGTGAGTGCGACGGACTACCTGTGCTACCATTGCTTCATGCACATCACTAAGGAGATCTCGATGCGAAGCTCAGAGCAGTGCCCTGACATATTTGTGCCAGCTGAAGAAGCAATTGAAGATCTAAATCGCAGCATACTACCTACAGGCTACAGATGTGTCGCCGCTGAGACAACCAAGCGTCGTAAGAAGTCGGGACAGGCCTGCCTATGTCAAGAGAAAGCAGACAGACCTGGAGCAGGTTGCTGTCAAGAATATACGCTCAAGGCTACGTATTGCGTACGACAGGGACGCACCATCGGGGTCGTCCGAACCAACATGCTCCACATGCACTGAGTGGGTGGACAACTTTCGGCAGGCCTTCGAAACCGCCACCTCTCTCCGGGAACGTTGTCAACTGCTTACACTCCTGCCGTCAACACTGACGAAGAATGAGGTTCAAAAGATGATTCCACAGGCCTCAATGTACCTCATCAGTAAATCCCGAAAACTCAAGGAAAAGCATGGCGTGTGGTATGAGCCGGATCCTTACACGAGGTGCAAGGTGAGCCCTGAGAACCTGTCTGCTGCCCTAGAGTACTTCACGAAAGACGAGCTACAATGTTCGCGCCAAAGTCCCAACCAGAAGGACGTCATCTCTGTCATGCTCAACGGAGAGAAAACGTTCGTGCCAAAGCGCTTCATGACACGCTCAATACGAGAGGCCTTCCGTATATACAAAGACAAGCATCCCGATTCCGGCGTTGGGCTAACGAAATTTTATTCGTTGCGCCCTAGATGGGTCCAATGTATTCCACACCAGGAAGTGTGCGTTTGTGTGCGCTGCGCCAATTATTATCTTTGTATGGCCGATCTAGAGAACGTTACAAGCTCAACATTCAACACTGGTGAAATGAACTCGGCATTTCTGTGCGACCCAGCAACAGAACTGTGCCTTCAAGGAGACTGTGATCACTGCCCAAAAGGCCAGTTTCTTACACTCCAGGAACTTGATATCCCGGAGGATGAAGAGATTGTGCTTGCAACATGGGAGTCCGGCGACCTTGTGAAAAAAACTTTGGAACCTGAGACTTTCCTAAAAGTCATCCAAGTGACGGTTGGAAGTTGGGTACTTCACAACCATATCCGGCAAACGCAAGGTAAAGCGATCTACGATGAAAAACAGTGCATGCAACGCGGGAGCATTGTCTTTCATTTTGACTTTGCTGAAAACTGGACCATCGTGCTTCCTGACGAAGTGCAAGCATATCACTGGAAAAAAAAAAACAAGTTTCGATATTTACATGTGTAGTGACGACAAGAAAATCTACAAACAGCTTTGCCATCATCAGTGAGGACCTGTGTCACGACGCCGCTCATGCTTGCTTGGCTCTAGAAAAAGTGAAGGAGTGGGTTGAAGACAACGTTGCGGTATACTCGTACGTGACGTACGTAAGTGACGGCGACGCCAGTCATTTCAAGAATCGCTACCAGCTTCACCAATTTGCAAAGGACGATTGCCCACAAGCCCAGTGGTTATTTTCTGCATCTGGACATGGGAAAAATGCATGTGACGGAGTTGGCGGACTCGTGAAGCACCAGGCCACGCTGAACAACCTGAGAGAACGTTCAGTAAGCGCAATTCAGACGGCCAGGACAATGGTGAGCGTTCTATCAAAGAAACTGAAAGGCGTGCATCTTGTATATCTGGACGAAAATGAGGTTGTTCGGTATCGTGAACAAAAAAAAGGAAAGTGGCTGACGGTGCGCGCCTTCCCTGGCATTCAGTCTTGGCACGCGTGGCGGCTCAGCAAGTCATCAACAGAAGGGACCTGTGACGTATATGTAGCACGGACAGTCGGATCTGCTTGGAAGCAACTTTATTAAATGGGTACAGCGAGGAAAACCTTAGCGTAAAGTGCCGAATTTGATTTCCCAAGGACTGCTCATTTTGAATGCAGGGACATCTTATTTATCACATTTTTCTTCACGGGGTATTTAACCTACTGTTTTTGTTGGTGGTTACTAATAATTTTTATCTGATCACTATAAAAAAAATCCCAAAATGTTATCCTCGAGCAGGATAAAATATATCGGCTTGCCACGATTCATTCATACACCGAGAGCATCGAAGCTGCTCCAGTTAGGCACTATGGCATCCGTCACCTGAAATTGTTTGTAATCGTAAATACACAGCCAACCTAAATATCTTACTATTATATCTTTGTTTTTGTGTGTGGAAGTAAAGTTATTTATTTTACTCTAGATGTAAAATATACCAGAAGGTACAACTTCACACTGCATCATCTTTTCTCAAATCATTAGTCTCTAATATGATACCACTTTGTACGCTTATGTAAAATGCTGTATATAGTTTCTCCTCCCTTTTACTGTGTGACCGATCGCTCTTTTTATCAATGACCTCATCTGAATAAATGTATATAAAAGATTTGTGCAAGTTTCATGAAACTGGAACTCAGAGTCACTTCTTGTATAGGACACTGCTAAGTGTAGGCTTTGAAAAAGGACCCTAGTTTCTTCTTTCACAGTGCAATGATGCAACATGTTTTTAATAGAAATGAATGCCGAAATAGAGTATAACAGGGTACCCAAATTTAAAAAAAATCGAAGGTGGTGTTTTTTTTTTATTCGCATTGGAATTTTTCTTTGTTTGATTTTTTTCCCATGTTTGCCTAAATATATTGTAACTATTGTGTCACTCAGATACCTAATTTATTTTTTCAATAATAGCCATATATTAGTAAAATAATGTCTGCAAGTTATGTAATAATGATTAAATTATTTCATGAGATACAGATTTCCAAAATTTGCCATTTGTCGTTCGAGCAGGCATGTTTGGCAATTTTTAGAAAACTAAATAAATTTTTAATAAATATTATTACTTTATATTACAAGCAAGTTTGTTTTTAAAAAGTTTTAAAATTCTCCTAATTTTATTGTTTTAATTATTCACTTTCAAACTTGCCCCCTCCATCAGTGCGCGTTATTGCAACTGTCCACCTCTCCCTGCCTTACGATTTTTGTTGTCTCCAAATTTTTTTTCTGATCAAAACTAAGTGTGGATTCGTTTATACCAGACACTAGACAATGTCATATAAAAACATCAGTTGATTTAAAAATGTCGACCAGCCACCCTTTGGTCGATCTTATCTGAAATCACCCAATATCACTTAATGTCTGGGCTACTCTGGAGTGCAAAAGAGAGACACTCGTGAGCTAAATTAAGAACATCTATTGTTACTCGTAGCATTGACAGAATAATCTCTCATCATATTGGTAGGTCTCGAAGCAGAAAACCGGGTTACTTAACCAAATTTGATTATTATTTTCGGCCCGCGTTAGGTCTCTTTTCCTTTTTTAACCTACTCAAAGAGGTACGGATTTAAGTTGATGTCGGCGATCGGACGAAGATAGAGGCCTTCTTGGAACGTCGAATCGTAGGCGATCTTGATGAGGATCGTCAGTGGACAGACGAGGATGGTGACGCCTTGCAGCGTGTCCGTCCAGACAACGCCTCGGAGGCCGCCCTGGAAGATAGTGGATCACAACTCTGTTTCAGTCATTGACTGAACCAGTGACTATGCGGAACAGAAGTTCGTCTGCTTCTCGCGCAGGGGTTGCAGTTACATCAGAAAGACTCCAAGCTGCGATTGGCTCTGATTGGAAGGATGGCGGGTAGACCTCAATGACTAGATGCCTTAGGGCCTACGCACTATTTTTTTATCAATCAGCCAAGAAGTGATTGGCGTTCTGACATCATCGCAAACCCTTTGCAAGAAGTCGACGAACTTGTGCCGCGCATGAACAAAAGACGTGGCGTTCACTGCAGGTATCTCTGAGGGCAAGGTTCAAGCGCGTACGGTGCGCTTCGGACATGTCCGTATTCAGTGTTTGCAGGACAGATATGACTTGACTTTCCAAAAAGGGAAGAAACACGCCTCAGACAGTGTGAGCAGACTGCCTTTTGTACAATGTATTATACGCTTCAAGAAATGCCTGCGTGTCTACTTACCCACAAAACACTCGAAGGGCCAATCTCTGCGATCTACGAAATCAGGTTGGCGAATGATGAGGCGGAACATCCGTTTAGACCTAAAAATGAAGTCTGCGCTGTGCCGTTACGTAGAGCAGAGCAAAACGTCATGCTTGCATTGCGTAATGCCAAAGCGCAGACTTTATTTTTAGGTCTAAACGGATTTTCCGCCTCATCATTCACCGAGCTGATTTCGTAGATCGCAGATATTGGCTCTTCGAGTGTTTTGCGGGTAAGTACACGCGCAGGTATTGCTTAGAGTGTAGCGGTATGAACGCGGCTTAAGGAACTCGGGGACAAAGCTCATTATGCTTACGATTTCAGCTTCGTGATTGGTTATTCGGCTCTCTTTTGTCGGCTAGTACTCCTTTCTCATTGGGTACGGAGCGGTAAAAGGGTAACTGGGACTCGCCTCGTCCTGCCTATTCTTACGCTGGCAGTGACTACGGACCTTTCCAATATAGCCGCCTTCTTTGGGCAGCCATCTTTATATACTGGGCTGGGGAAGGCGTTCTGAACATGCGCCGTAGCTCTGTTATGCGATGGATCAGACGCTGTGGCGTGCGTCCATGGCTCTGTGACTCGGCATTTTTGACCCTTGAGATATATAGCTGGAAAAGGTCTATAAGGATGCCGCGGACCAGCCGAAGTTCCACTTCGAGCCAGGTTTGACGTCATCAAACTTTCAGCGCTATGTTTGACGAAGGTTTGATCGAATTCATTCAACAAAGTCCGAACGCGCCTAAATTCACAACGGTTATTGTCTCACATAAACGAAAAAACAGAATAAAAAAAACAACAACAAAGAACTGCAATGCGTTTTTCTTTATAGTGCGTAAAAGTATAAAGCGACTGCCGCATAAGCTATTGTATCCCGAAAGGTTGAATTTTACTTTGTGTAGGGCAACATTGTTGAAAAGTCGAACACTTTTTTTTTCAAACTATACCAAAACTTTTAATATTCGGCGCACCAGTCAATCATTAAATTCGACAAATGTTTGGCGGACCTTCGAACGGGAGCTCTTTGTTGAACCTAAGGTTCGACAAAAGTTGGATGCAGCCCCACCACAGGGGATGCACGATACAGCGATGGTGTCCGGTGCAAATCAAGGCTGAAACTCACCAGCGCGGTGTAGAAAGTACCAGTCAGACCAATTGCCACGCTGCTCCATATCAAGGGCACGTGGAAGGCTGAAACATGAAGAATTCATTATTCATTTGATTATTTGCAATACTGAGAGTCTTCATGTGCTGTCTCGGAATTGCTCTTTTCGAGAAAAAAAAAGCAAAACAAAAACAAGAACCGTTGAACAACTAATCACCACAACAGAACGACCATGTAAGTGCTATTACGGTTAAACAAAGCCGTACACGTCTGTAAAAACATATTGAAAAAAAACGATATTTTGTATTAATTATTTCCAACAAAAGAACGTCCATCAGCATTTTTTTTTAATTCCATGCTCATTTTTACTGAAGAGAACACTTTTTTTTTGCATTTTGTTCTCAATTGATTGCTGCTTCTATCTATTTAATATGTTCAGTTATTGTCGATAAAGCTTCAGATTACTGCAGCAATTATTTGAAGTGTCTCTAAAATATACAAAACAAAAACAACTGAGCTTTGAACTTTGGTTTCTGACGCACTTACACACACTGAAAAAATACAATTATGCATAAATTAAAAAAAAATATATATATATATATATATATATATTATTATGCACCAGAAGGCAATTTAAACCAGATTAGCGTGAACCAGCAAGTGGTGTAATGAAGAGTTTGTATTATTTATGCTAATTATTGATATTATGATGAGATAGATATTGTTGATACGAAGACCCAGGAACAGCGACAGCTTCACGAAAATGAAGAGCTTTAATTCCGACGTGCGTTCGATGCGAAAAAAGAAATGGTAGTAGAATAAAAGTGAACGAGCTCCACGCTCGCCGCCCAGGAGCGCAGGCCCCGATCTCGTGTGCAAGCTTGCCATTGTGCTGCTCAACACTGCTTCGCTGGTAATCGACCAGTTTGATCTATTTTCAACACAATCCCGACCGCGAAATGAGTCACGCGCTGACCTCCAGGGGATAAAGGCGTTGAACTGGTCGGTCGGTAATCGATCCATTTCGCAGTTTTACCTGACAGGACCGTATATTGCCAAAATTGTCTCGGTGCATTACTATCGTGCACGAGAACAACGTCGTCTACACTTAGGGTTGACGCAGAAGCTGGTTGCATATGGTGCGCCGATCGAAGCTGCAACAAGTATTCGTGCTGCCAGCGTTTCCAAAAGTTGTCCGTTAAGCACCGTCGGTACTTGATCTTCTTGAGTAGGTCTGTTCTTTTGGATTGGTGCTCCGTCTCCGTTGTTGGGGCGGGCAAGCACGCCAATCTTTTCCCAAGCAATATATCTCCTGGGGTTATCGGCCTGGGCTCCGTGGCGCCTGTGCTGTCCATTGTTAGAGGACGGGAGTTGAGTTGACTATTCCTTCAACCTCGGTCAAAACAGTGGATAATTCTTCAGAGGATAGGCATGCCCTCCCTAGCACTTTCCGTAGGGTGGTCTTTACCGTTCGCACGAGCCTCTCCCACCAGCCTCCCCACCATGGGGCACTGGGAACAATGAAGTTCCATGTTACTCGGTTCTTGGCAAGATGAGACGTAAAATCTTCTTCTTGCATCGCTCTAAACAACGCATATAGGTCCTTTGATGCCTTCTTGAATGTTGGTGCGTTGTCAGAATAGATCGTTGTTGGCAACCCTCTCCGTGCCGTGAAACGTCGAAAGGCCATTAGAAAAGCTTCTGCAGACATTGCAGAAACAAGTTCGAGATGAACGGCGCGAGACACTGCACAAGTGAGAAGTGCAACGTAGGACTTCACACTGCCGCTTGCTGCCTTGACATACAAAGGACCTGCAAAATCTACGCCTACAACATCAAAGGGCGCGCCTTGTTTCAGTCGGTCAAGGGGAAGTGGAGCCGTTGGGGCAGTGTCAGCCGTGAGGCGGAACCTCTTGCATAAACAGCAGCTGAAGATCACTTTCTTCACCAATCTTCTCCCTCCTATAATCCAAAATCGTTCTCGGAGTTGCACCAACGTGTCTCGTGCTCCTCCGTGAAGTACCTTGGAGTGGGCGTTCTGTACGACCAGGGTTGTGAAGTAGTGCTCACTCGGCAATATGATTGGGTGTTCCACATTGTCCGATGCTGGCAGCATCTGAAGCCGGCCTCCAACCCGGATGATATTGTCTTTATCCAAAAATGGACTCATCTCTGCTAGAGACCATTGTTTGTGAACATTTTCTTTCTTCGAGAGACATTTTATCTCGTCTGATTAAGTACTGTTCTGAACGTTGTTGATCCAGTATAGTTCGGCCACAGTGGTTTCCTCGGCACTCAGTGGTCCATTTGACGGTTTGCCATTTCGGCAGTTCCTCAGAAATCGAAGGCACCACGCCGTCACTCTTAAAGCCCAATGGAGTTCGCTGTACTTTGTCAGATCCAATAGCGGTTCAGGTGCTGTTGTTTGCAATATCACATGAACTGCTTTTCTCTCTTTTTTCAACAAGTCAGTCTCTGGTTCGTTACTCGACCTCAAATCAGGCCATTCATTTTCGTTTTCAGTCAACCATTTTGGTCCTGACCACCATAAATCACTCGACCCCGTCGAGAACCTGTGATGCCACGGGTAAGCAAATCCACTGGATTGTCACTTCCCGGACAGTACCTCCAATGAGAAGGATCGGTGTCCCTTTGTATTTCTGCAACTCGGTTGGACACGAAAGTCTTCCACTTGCTGGGGTCGCTCTTGATCCATGCAAGTGTAACGAGAGAATCCGTCCACAACGTATAGTCATACGGAATGCATGGTCTTCTCAAGATATTTGTGAAGTCTCGACGCGATGACGGCTCCCATAAGTTTCAGGCGAGGAAGAGCTTGTTTCTTGATTGGAGCAACCCGTGCTTTTGCCAATAAAAGTGTAGGTTGTTCAGGTGGCGAGGACTTCGTTGTTACGTACACTGTAGCTCCATAGGCAGTTGGGCTTGCGTCGCAAAAAATATGAATCCGGGTGTCCTTGCCCTGTCCTGCTTGGAATACGAATCTAGGGATGACGAGTGCATCCATCTTTGGCAGGTCACCACACCATTCGTGCCATTCGTTGTTCAGATCCTCGGGTAGAGCACTGTCCCAAGTGATTCCTCTCGCCCATAGTTTCTGAAACAGTGTCTTCACACGGATTGTGAAGGGCGACAAGACTCCAAGGGCATCGAAAATCCTAGACGCTGCTTGTAAAACAAATCGCTTAGTGCCATCATGCAGCTCTAGGATTTTTCGTAAAATTGGCAACGCAAACTTCAAGACATCCTTCTCTGGATCCCAGACAATTCCCAAAACCTTCATTGTTCTTTGTTCAAGGATAGGCGTAGTGTTTTCTGGATTTGCCTCCTCTTGAAGTAGCACATCTCTCAGCGCTTGTGAAATCGTCGTCCACTTTCGGAGAGTCATTCCTGAGTTCTGCATAATAGATTTGGCGTCATGGTACAACTTGATGGCTTCCTCCTCGGTAGCTGTGCCAGTAACCAAGTCGTCCACGTAGAAGGAGTTACGAAGTACGTCAGCCACTTCCTCCTTTTCAGTCGGCAGATTTGTCAGGTGTTGGAGGATCGTAGCCGTAAGAAGAAATGGACTACAGGTTGCACCAAAAGGAACCCTCTTCATCCTCCATGTCTGTACCTCTTCATCTTTAAAGGTCGAAGATGGTAGATCTTGAAACCAGAGAAAACGCAATGCATCTCTGTCCTTTTCTGCTACAGATATTTGCAGAAATGCCTTCTGGATGTCGGAGGTTATGGCGAAGCGGCTCACCCGAAATCGCAGCAATATTCCAAGAAGGTCTTGATACAGGTTGTCTCCTTTCTCTAAACATTCGTTTAGAGACTTGCACCCAGCTGCGTGCGAGGAGGCATCGAAAACAACTCGAAGTCGTGTCGTCAGCGCATTTTCTCGGATGACTTCGCGATGTGGCATGTAAAATAGTCTGCCTTCTTCACCAGTTGTCTCGTTCGGTACCACTTCAGCGTGACCCGCTATCAGATACTCTCTGATTGCTTCGTCGTAATGAAGTACTAGAGTGTCAGTGCTGTAGAGTCGACCTACTAGTTTCCTCAGTCTCGTCATCGCTACTTGCTTGTTGTCCTTAAGGACACCTATATTGTCCTTCCACGGTAGTGCCACTTCGTACTGTGTGCCAGACCGGCGAATGTTCTGCTCGAAATGGCGCATCACTTGGCCTGTTTCGGACATCTGGTCTTCTGAATCTGTGATTCCCAGGCTTTCTAACTCCCAAAATGATCGGAGAGCGCCTTCAACCTGTTCTGTACCGGTGATCTGCAGGACACAGACGACCAAGTTCGAGTGGGTTTTTTGCGACTTCAGGATGGATGTCCGTCCTTGGAAGGTCCAACCAAGCTTGGTGTTTAATGCAACAAGGGTGCTGCAGGTCTTACTCCGAGTGACTTCACCAGTCATAAAGCCCCACATTTGGTCAGAGCCAATCAACATACTGATGCCTGGTTGTGCGGCAACCGCTGGAAACATGAGGCGATCGGCAATAAACTTTCCATTTTTCTCCATGTCAGCTACGAAGACTGAATCCGTCGTTAAGGTAGCTATGTCTTGACATATCACTGGGATTTCGATCGCTTCGATCTTGCATCCGTCCATGTTGAATTGGCTTCTAAGTTCAAGCTCCACTACACGACGCTTCTTGCACTGTTGAGTTGAAGCACAATTAAGCAAACGTGTTGAGCGCCATCTTGGTGTAGCCAACGCACTTAAGCTGAAGGTGTCTTGACAGATCCTCGGTGACAAACGTCTGTTGGCTGCCTCCGTCGATAACACCTCTAACATACCTACATGATGTACCGCTGACAGCCCATGCCCGGAAGGTTTGCAGAAGTACCGCTCCGGACTCTCTGAATTCTCGGTGAATTTATGTAGTACAAACCGTCATGCTGTTTTGTGTGTCCGATTTACCTTCTTTAGCTTTGATCCGTGTCGGGTCACACATGGACTTAGCGTGTCTTCCGCCACATGTGGCACAGCTGATCTTTCGTCTGCAGTCTCTTGCTCGATGGCCACTGAAAGTGCATCTGAAGCATCTCATCTCTTTTGTCAAACGCTGTT